CCCGAGTTGATTGCACTTTTAAACGCTGATCCTTCAAGCTAAATGAGATTGAATGAGAAAATGCATAGGGTAAAAACCATAACGCCCGAGTTGATTGCACTTTTAAACGCTGATCCTTCAAGCTAAATGAGATTGAATGAGAAAATGCATAGGGTAAAAACCATAACGCCCGAGTTGATTGCACTTTTAAACGCTGATCCTTCAAGTTAAATGAGATTGTGATGTGGTTTTGCTTTTGCTTGCTAGTGTGTTTACCCGCTGACAGCATCCCGCGCAGCCCTGGGTAAGTTTTGCTTTCGTTGTATAAGTTGCTGAACTCGTTTTTGGTAAAACTTTTTCCACAAACAATAATAAGGAACCCTTTCTTGGAAGTAAAAATCTGTTTCGGAACGATAGAATACATATACCTTATCCTGCATAAAATGCAGGCGGATATTTTGCAAGTTATGTTATATTTATGGGGCTCGGAGAAGTGAGTGTAATTAATATAAGAGCCGTAATTATATTTTTCTTTTTAAAACCAAAGTAACCGTGCTTCAAAGTTTTTGTGGATGGAAGAGCGAAATTCAGACCCAACTCATCAACTTACCAATAATAGATCCAGTGACAGTTCCACTTCAGACTGTACACGTCAAATGGCAAACTGCTGCCGAGTGAGAGGAGGGTCGTCCAACAATAGCCTTGACTTACCCAATAAAATTACTTTCAACCAATTGTCAGGTAGGAGAAATATTACTCTTGAACCCTTTAACCTCTTAACCCTTTAACCTCTTGAACCCCTTAACCTCTTAACCCTTTAACCTCTTAACCCTTTAACCTCTTGAACCCCTTTGGGAGCGACAGAAGTCTGCATACTTTGATGTGCGGGTATTCCACCCTTATGCTGACTCCTAGCGTGAGAAGACATCTGAGCAGGTCTTTAAACAGCACGAAAATGAGAAGAAACCAAAGTATGCCAGTAGAGTATTGGAAATAGAGCAAGGATCCTTTACGCCCCTGATCTTTAGTACCACCGGAGGCCGGGATGGGCACTGAATGCAAAATTTACCATAAGCAGTTAGCTGAACTCCTATCCATTAAGAAATGTGAAACATACTCTACCACTATGTCCTGGATTAGAGCCAAAATCTCTTTTGCGCTCTTACGACGCGCCCTCTTATGCTTAAGAGGTACAAGAAAGAAGAGAAGAACATTTGAGACATTCGATACAGATTTTTTAATTGACATTGCTATGGCAAATATACGCTAGACATTTTTAAAATTTCTTTTTACAGATTTTAGAGTGAGAGTGTCATTTTCCTTCTCATATATTTTTTTAATGTAATCTACTTTTATAAGGATAATTTCGATATACGATTTTTTTGAAATTCTTTCAATGCGAACTAGTAGTTGCTTTCGCGATTTTTATATGTAGGTCGTTTTTGTTATTGAAGTTAGTTTGGGCCTGATACGAGTCTGATCCTAGAAAACCGAAAAATAATAATAATAATAATAATAATATTAATAATAATTATAATAATAATAATAATATATATATTTTAATGATAATGACAATAACTTTTTTCTCAAACCTTAAAACATTACAATAACTTCGCGTGGGTAATGGTTTTTCCTCTCGTACATTTCTGAATTAATGGACACGGAACACATCTGTTAAATTTTAATTATTTTATCACCTCTATTAGGCAGTGGAAATCGGTTGGATGGGAACCACTTCAGCCCGGCGGATGTGCAGCAAGAAAAAAGTAACAACATACCAAATTCAAACTTTCATTATCACGAGCATTTGAACAAGAGCAACAAATTCTTGGATTCATCGCCAAATCGTGAGTACACTTTATTTTACTTTTTCGAAATAACACAACCACATCGACCAATCAGAACAATGATTAATCATCATTAGCCAACGAGAAATAAATTTAAATGCAAACTGCTAAAAGCGCGGGAAAATTTTCAAGGCAAACCGCTAAAAGCGCGGGAAAAATTTCGAGACGAACTGCCAAAAGCGCGGGAAAACGAGGGTGATTTAGTCGCGATTGGATTTTGTTTTACGTCTGATTGGTTGAGAGAGTGGCGCGGATCTTGAGGACCAACCACAGAACGAGGTAAAGCAAAATCAATCAAGTTTCAGATTACTTTCGACAGTTAATGGACAATTAGAATATTCAAGTTGAAGATATCTTTATACCGTTTCAAGGCAGTTTCCAAATTCTGTAACACGACGAGTTGTGACTGTAACTCAAGGTGCGTTACGTTTCTTTTGCAGGGTATGCCACACCTAATGGATCTAGGAGTCCTTCAGAAAGTACTCTCCCAAAGAGCGGGCCAAAAGAAAGAATCCGCTACCTGGACTTCCCTGAAACTGGGACAAACAGGAGCAAATCTAGCACAAGTTCGAGGAGAAGAGACCCGAACCAGGCCCCCAGTGACTCCAGCGACACAGAGAAGACTAAACCTAAGCTTAAGATTCAGTCATTTGAGATGGCTGGAAATATTCCCACCACAAGTACCTTTCACTCCGAACCGCCTCCCACCTACGAGGCTGTCTTAAAAGAAACAGAAATGGAGATGCAGAAATTCCCGCTGAACACCACAGACAGGGGGGAACCAATAGAGAGCAAAAACGAGGAGGAGCAAGACTCCTCAGTTAAACCCGATGCTTCTGATGCTCGGAAATCCCCAGCTTTGGAGAGACCGGCCAGTCCGAGTAGCGAACGAAGTTGTAAAACTTCAACCAGTTGTGGCTCGCTTCAGAGAAAAAGAAAAGCCCTTAAACCACCTCCGCGTCTAGCTATCTTCAATTGGGCGGATCTACTGCCCCCACCCCCCTCAGAGCCACCACCTAGCAGCTTAGGATCGCCGCCCCCCTCCCCGCCGTTCAGCGAACGAAGTGCCATGACAGGCATGACGGGAAGAACTGGTATGAGCGGTATGAGTGCTATGAGTGGAATGACAGGTATGAGTGGGATGACTGGAATGAGTGGCCAGACAGGTTTGAGTGGTATGACAGGTTTAACAGGAAAAACCGGAATGAGCGGAGTGAGTGGCGTCACTGGGAAGAGTGGACTGACGGAACCTCACAGTCATTCAGGCAGGCGGGCACACAGAAAGGCTGGAGCCGCTTCTCGTGACGGAGAAAACGACCACGAGTCTGTTACGGGCAAATCTGAAAAGTCGAAGAAATCCCGATCGAAGCCGAAACCCATTCCGATCGATCTCGAAGGCATCACGAGTGACATCATCATGCAATGGGCCGAATCTGTGACAAACACGAGCGGTTCCGATGAGGAATCGTCGGCTTCGAGTCCAAGCCGAATAAGTGGAATCAGCAGTGATGGGTCTTTCTTTACAGACGCTGACTTTGCTAACGCTGTTCGTGTTGCCGCCGAATGTGGCGGATTTAACACGGAGGCTTATGGACTTATGGACTCACTTGGCATACCTCCCCCTTATGCTGCGGGCTGGAAACGCAGCAATTCATTTTCTAATGATAACGAAGCTAGCCTAGGAACCGCTGCAGCGTATGGCCCGCGTCCCCTTAGAAAACGATGGGAAACTGGTAGCGAAGGTGATTTGGAATATAATCCACCACCTAACCGAGTACGTCCAAGGTTAAGACGAGACAACGAAAAGGGGCCCAATGAGAAGGGACCTAATGAAACAGGACCCGTGCGCATCCACAGAGTGCCTCCTGGGGAGCTTATGAGACAACTTCCCGGTATGCGAGCCCCTGTACCCATAGTGCCTTCACAGCCGAGGAGACCACTTCACAGGGTTGCACGACCAGGGGGGCCGCCCCTGCAGACGAATCCGGCCATGCTGGTGCAGCCCTTGAAGAAGACAACGACACTTGGCGTAGTTGATCCTCGGGAACCGCTTAAGAAAAAGTACGCCATTGTGAAAAAGATACCTCAAAGTCAGGACAACGAGAAAGGAAATGGATATCAGAGTTGTAGCATGAGTTCGAGCAAATCAAGTACAAGTACGGCCAGTACTGTAAAGAGCAGCTCCTGTGCTCCAACTGTACATGATGACTCTGACCTGGAAGGGGTAAGCTGAAGGTTATTGAGACTAGGTTTACACTAGAGGAGAGTTTTCCGGATTCGTAAATGTTTCCGGATTCATCAATTTTGGAGTATTCGGATTCGTAGGCGTTTACACTGAAANGTTAGCCCTTCGTCGGAGCCCTTTCGCTCCGAGGAAGGGCTAACGCTCGAAACGTCAGCTTTTGTAATCGTTACGGTGGCCAATTTACCATTTCAACTTTGTTGATATATCCAAATTATTATATATTTATCATATTGTTTCTTTCCTTGTCTAGTAGGGGGCATAATTGGACAAAAGAAGACAGTTCTGTGGCAATGGACAGAAGAATTGAAGCTTTGTGAATTGAGGCTTTATTTCAATATTTTAATGCTAGCGTCTATTAAAATTATGTAATGATACGTAACAACTATTAGTTAGGGTTAAAACAGCTGTTTGTTTCCGTTGTCCTTTCAAGACAGAGTTACCGCCGTTGCTTTTCCACAGAGCAACACTTCAAAGCGTTATAACTGAGAATTTTTTTTTACTCAAATGTATCGATTTTTGTAGCATTACACAGCGGTAAACTGATTCTTTTGCGTCATAAAGTTTCGAGTTATTATTAAATGGGATCTTTACATAGATTTGCGTAGATAAACATAAAGATCGATCGAAGATAATGTGTCTTGAGAGAATTAAGGATTTTCAGACTGTCTTCCTTCGAAAAGGCGAACTATTATTTTGTAATGAGTCAATATATTATTGGCTGGAATTGACGTTTAGAGATGTTCTTGGTGCTTCAGTATGAACATGTTTTTTGTAATACATTACGCACGATAATTCTTTTACTTCTTTTCGTTGGTACTCCATACGAGACGCTAAAAAAGATGAAAAGTATTGATTTTTTTATGATATAAATTTATAAGCAGATTTTTTTTGATGATTGAATTTAATACATGACAATGAAAGTGGAGATGCGCTTGGTCTGACGCGCGGTGTTAGATTTTCCAAAAATATATACTTTCTGATTTTTTTTTTTTTTCGCAGAATTTAAAAGAATTTTATTTGAATTGTCTTGTATGAGAGAAATTGCTGTTTATGCTTGGAAATTCCAGATAACGTTTTCCAAGGAATGTACTTATAATCAAAAACAGCAAAAAGTAAAATATGATATTGTTATTTTATTTAAAAGCTTCAAAGACTTCGTTTAGTCAGCATACCTGTTCCTGATAAGTATTTTTTTATGAAGCATTTGGATTTTGGCATAAGCTACATTGTATAAACAACAATGCAGTAAACAATAAATTGCAAACTACCTTGAATCCGTGTGTTGTGTAAGTGCACGAACCCCTAACCCTACGGGGCTGCGCTTTAGAATTTTTGCCTGTGGTGTGCAGCCTGGTTCTCAGAGTTATCATGTAAGGAGCAAAATTACGGGATTGTGATTGGTCAAGACAGAGGGCACTTTTTCTTCATTTTTGGAATTGCCCCGGGCAAAATTACTTGAAAATGATTGGCTGAAAATCGCTTAGCAACGGCTGCCAAGGTAAAGAAATTTCTGTTTGTTTTGTAACTATGGCGTCCCGTTTTGCGCGAGATCAATAAGAAAACACTTTGCCCCTTATATTATAAACAAGTAATCACATGGTTCCTCGTAAAATTAAGGATTAATTTTACGAAGAACCATGTGCCTGCGCGACTCGGGTAATTTCAGCAACTTCCGAAAACACGCGTGATATATTACTCGGCCCCATGCGATTACCTATACTAATCGTGCAATTTTCTCCACACTCGATTTCACACCTTTCCTTTCAAAACCGACAACCGTTCTCAGACTCTGCATCGTTGCCGTAGTGAACGACATTTTTCGTCAGGGGACCAGTTGTCATTGAATGGCAGAGGTGGGGGCAGGAGATTATGGAGGGTATCAGATGGTTTTAAGGGGGGGGCGGAGTGGGGAACAGTCGTCGTTAACAGATTTAAATGGGACTAAATGGAAAATTGACCGCTAATTAACTACCAATGAGGAACGGGGGGTGGGGTCATAAGATATTACAGAGCCCTATCGGGGGATCAGGTAAACTTTATCATGACCATTACAACCAAAATCCCCAGTCCCCACCAGTAAGTCGAATAATGACCTGTCCCTACTCCTCTCTCGCCCTCTCTCTCTCTACTTTTCATTTGGAGTTGAAGAGACAAGTACGTTTACACGCTCACATGGTGACTGCATTTAAGACCATGATAGTCAGGCTCATAACCTTTTTCACACCGAAATGGCCCAATACCATGTTTACAGAACGTATTCTGACCCTCCACCCTTTGGGATCTCAGCCTCAGTTTGTGTTAGTTAACAACTTTCAATCCTCTGTTATTTGGCCTAGATACACGTACTAAAATAATTAGAATTAAAAACATCACCCATCGGGACCCATCAGTATTGCAGCGTCAGGGCATTCACTTCCGCACCGAACCGTCACATCATTCGATCGAGGCTCCAAGTCACGTGTTTACTAAGAGAGCAACACATTCAAGATGGCGCTACCTCCACCGCCGCCACCGCCACCTCCACCGCCTCCTCCTCCAATAGGAGAGGCAAATCCTCCCCCTTACCCCGGTCCGGCGCCTTTGATGCAACCTGCGACAAATGCACAACCAGCTCCGGACGCTCAAACGGCATCCCAGCCTAGTGCTGCCCCAGGAAGCGAAGATAAAGTCTGGGAAAGAGCGTGGAGTGTGGACGAGCTGAGAAAGGGGTCATCAAATTGGACACTCGCTGCTGATTCAGGGGTAAGGCTGCTTACCTTAATGACTCCGTGAAAGACTGTAAACTACGAGTCTAGGAGATAATTGTTTCTTGTTTAAATCATTTTCTGTGACGGAGATTTTTTTCATTTGTTTACTGCGCCTATGCTATGAGGTGTCAAACCAAATTATAGCTCGAAACTTCAGGTGTCATTAAACTACTTTTACTGGATTAAACGACATAAACTTCACCTCGTAACGTTAGTATTAGCCATCTTAACAATCGAATCTACCCACTAGTGTCCAATTGATTGAAATATTTTTTGAGAAGTCGCATAAGTATTTATAAAGTGCCATACTTAAAATGAATTATTACGATAAAGCTGAGTGGTGATTAAATATTATTCAAAGTAGCTTACAAAACATTTCCTTACGCATATTTTATTAAAGTATTAGGCCAATCAGAAGCTGTTACCTTGGATGGTGAGGAAATAAACTCAATGTCTAAGGAAATATTTCGCATAACACCTTTGTTCATAAGGAAATGTTTTGTTTTCTCTTCTGATATGAGGGTATAAGGATTGATAAAGGTAATTATTTTTCTCAGCAGAAGTTTTATTTACCCAAAGTTAACCCTACAAACAGGCATCGTTCATTTCTCAAAATTTACCAATACCATAAGAAGTTCACAATTTATTTTGAACTAGCCTTCAATGGTTTGTTGTAATCCAGGAGTCCTATAACCCATGACCAAGTGGGAAACTAAGGGAACAATCATATTTTTTTTTTACTTTAAATCTACTGAACAACCTTAAAGTATACTGAGGATGTAGTAATTGTTATTTTCATGTAAACCTTTTTTTTCCTATTATGAGAACACTGGACTGACCAAGTAAACATTTTTGTTCAATGTAAGAACAATATAACAAATTAAATTTTGACAGAAATTATCAGTTTGTATTTTGATCTGACATTTTGCCAAAGATTGTGGCATATTATGTGCAGAACCAAGTTGTTGTTGAAGAGAAGATTCAACAAGTGCAGTCACTTTAGCTAAGGCTATCTGCTGCCATGCACAACATTACATTAAAAAAAAAAGAGATTTATTTTGACTGTCCATCCATTTATTACAAACCACTTCTCACATTATATCTGTTATTGCTTTATCTTCATTTGAAGCTGTCTTATGATAAACTTAAAATATTTATGTAGCCCTTGGAATAAATGTTATTTTTCAATTTCCAGTTTCTCCTTTATTTGCAAGAGTTCTCCCAACGAATTATTTCGCAAACTCATGATATTGAGACACAGGTGGATGGGCTGATCAATAGTACAAAAGTGAGTCAACAATTTATTTTCGTTGTTTCATTGAGTCAAACATCCATTTAAGTTGTGAAAGGCTAGCTGTATTAAATTTACTTTTCTCTATAGTTGTCATGTTTTTCTTAATAATTGCATTTTATTTTCTCCATGGGTCAAAATGAAAATGAAAACATGTAGAGGGATTTAAAAATATATTTTGTTATAGTATTATGCTTTATTGATTGATAGTTTTTTTTTCTTTTGTTTGCAGGGAATGGATTCCAAGGTGCAAAATACAATGAATGACTTTTTAATGCTGTCTAATACACAATTTATTGAAAATGTGAGTTTCTCTTCAAATAATTGTCCAGAATATCCTTTTGGTATACTTATCCGAACTGTATGTCATCTATCTACCCTTGGATATTTTTTAATAGGAATTTAGTAAGTGAGTGTTTTTGCAAAATATTTTTTTATTGTTAATTAATGACATTTTTTTTTTACAGATGGCTTATCAAATTTTGTGGTGAACAAAACAAGCAACTTTACCAAGTGTATATTAACTGATTTGGGGAGGTGTAGTGGCCTCATGGGTTAGTGTGCTCGACTCCGGATTGAGTGGTCCAGGTTTGAGCCTTGGCAGGGGACATTGTGTTGTGTTCTTGGGCAAGAAACTTTACTCTCACAGTGCCTCACTTCACCCAGGTGTATTAAATGGGGACCAGTGAATTTAATACTAGGAGCAACCCTGTGATGTACCGGCATTCCATCCAGGGGGTGGTAGAAATACTCCTGGTTGCTTCATGCTACAGAAACTGGATTTTAAGTGCCAACCCAATGGGCCACTAGGCTAATAAACAGGCTTTAATACCTTGACCTATATTAACTCAATGATTATTTTCAGCGTGTTTATGAAGAGGATGTCAGTAAAGATGAGACAAATGAAGAGAAGGAGAAAGCTCCAGAACCAGAAAAGGTATCTTGAATCATTCTCAATAGTATTGCTTTTAGGAGATTTTTACCCTTTACACCCAAGCACAAGTAGTCATATTCTCCATGCTCTTCTCTCTACATTTTCTCTGAAACATTTCAAGAAAAACCTTCAGCTAATTCTTCTTGATAAATATTATTAATTTTTCTAGCCTTCTGCTTGTTTTTTACTCTGATATTCCTTGCTTCCTTGACCTTGTTTTGTATGATGAATGAGCGAGTGTGTGTGTGCGTGTGTATGTGTGTGTGTGTGCATGTGTGTGTGTTGTTTGTGTTCTATCTTACCCAAATAATTACATATACATAAATCACCTAAGTATAGCTGCCCTTTTTTTCTAGCCCTATGGTTATTTGGGGAAGCTAGTACTCCTTTATATTCTCCTCAATTTATCATTATTTTTATCACTATTTTATATGTTGGATACAAATAAAGTTGTTGTTGTTGTTGTTGTTGTCTGCTGCTGATGAGAAGAATTTTTTTAACAATCATTTTTAAAGTCTTAAGCACTCTAAACAACAAACGCGTTTAGTTACAATGATAAGGTTGAGATCGGACGTCAGCATTATCAGGCATCTCTGGCAGCTGCTTCAGTTCATGTAACAATCTCACCTCCCCACCCATCCCACCCCAGGGGAGGACATCCACCACACAGTAATCTTGTGCGCGGGAAATTAACGTCTCCTACCCCTAACCCTGCAGGAGACGGGGCCTACGGTTTATTTGTCCTTATCCGAGAAGACTAGAATATGTATCCATTTCTTGATATTATAGAAAGGTAGTAAATTCTCCTCAGTTATTTGAAGACCATGAGTATTGGTCCAGCCGGGGCTTGAACCCTCAACCTCCTGCACAGCACAATCCGGCGCTCTAACCATTTAAGCTAACCGGGATCATTGGATAATGCAATTCGAGACTTTTTATTGGCTTAGCCATTATGGTATATGAGCCAATATACCATTATCTGATAATTGTCTGTACATTGCAACATTCGGTTTCTTCTTACGAAATAAAGTCGTGAAGATTTGTCTTATATCTTGAGGGTGTTTTTTTTAATAGAACAATTATTCCAGTCCAATCATTAGGTCCTTAATCAGATGAGGATTTCCTTTATTCTTATAACCTTTGCCAGTCAGTCACCCTGATGGGGTTTAATAATAAGGCTTAAAATTTTCTCACCTGCCACCCCTTCCCCATTCTTCCCCTCCTTGCTCCTTGGCCTATGAACTTTCATTCTGTGCCTTTAGGTAGATGTAACAATTATTCCACGAGCACGCGTTGGATATAAGATGATAGATAGCCAATGACGCGCATAGTGCCGAGTGAGCTATAATCTAATATCCAACAAGCATGAGTGGAATAATTGTTTTACTAAAAATGCCCCCAAGAAATTATTATTTTGAAGAAGAAACCGGAGTTTTTAGCTCACTTTTGATTTTAAGGAAATATGGCATAGCTCACTGTTAGTTTTGTCTCAGGGTCTAATATTTGTACTCTCAACAGGCAAAAACAAGGGAGCAGCTAGAAGCAGAGGTTATTCCTAAGCTAAGTGAAGCTCTTAAACATGGAGTTGGGGTTATGGATAATGCATTTGTTGCAGTTGAGCTCACAACCGAACGTAAGTACTTTTTCGATCAGTGATATACAAGCACATACAGTACCTTTGTTTTTTTTTGCAGTCAACTTTCTTACCTAAGTGTATTTGTAACCTGTGTAAGACAATTACTTCATGATTAAATTAACTTGTGGTTTGGGCTTAGGTTTATAAATTGAAACCTCCCTTCTCAGAGATAATTCTTCGATTCCTTGTAAAACACCAAGAAGCTGCTTTCAAAATGTCCAATCGTTCAACATATATTTCTTTCACACAGATTCTGATGATGAGGAAGAAGATAATGATGCCAAGACAGCATTTAAGCCACAAGTGATTTTGGAACCCAAGGTTTATTTACTATTTCAGGGCTTGACACTAACTTTTCAACTTACTAGCCAAGTGGCTAGTGACAACTTAGATGTTACATCAATTTCAGTTTTTTTACAAGCCAAACTGGCTAGTGGAGATCGAAAACCACTAGCCAAAACTGAATTTCTACTACCGTAGTCTGTGGTGGCTAATTGGCTACTGTTAGTGGCAACCCCTATATTTTCTGATCACCATGCCGTGTAGATTTGATATTAATCAGCTACTTTATGATGAAGGAGGCCTCACTCCTCTCCAAAGAGGTAGGGCTGGATGAGATAGGAACAACCAATCTGAGACACGCCTGCTTGATGACAAACAAAACAAAGCTTATAGATATACAGTTAATGGTATTTGAAGGAGGTAGGATAAAGACCTAACTTGGAACATTGTTTACACTGCAAGTCTTCTTAATCATAAACAGCTTCCATTTTTTACCTTGAAGGATGTGTATTCCAATCGTCCATTGCCACAACTGATTGGAAGTGGTGATTTCTTTAGGGATGAGCTGGTAGGATTCGAAGGATCTTCAGGAGAAGGTAAATATGGTTAGCTATTTGAAGTGAATCCAACAGTTGCAATGTTATGCAGGCCATCTATCAACTGACTGGTATTAATTGAGGGGAAAATGTAGAGGGAGAATTGCTAAACAGATTTTTGTGTCACTTGATTACAAACAGAAGATGAAGGTGAAGAAGATGAAGAAGAAGCATCTTCTAGTAGCAGTGGAAGTGAAACTGAATCGACAGCTAGTGGAGAATCCAGCAATGAGGTAATAATGATGAGGACGATAATAATCATAATTACAGAGGCAGTTTTTATTGTGATCTTTTTCGAAAATTTCTCAATCTTTATTGAACCACTATGGAATAATTATTTTTTGTAATCTGTCAAGCTAACATCAAAACTGTCAGTGTACTAATAAAAAGCGATTATCTTCTCATGATTAGAAAAGGTGTTGCAGTTTATTTACTTAAAGGAGCACTCTTATGAAACCACCCTGTAATTTGAAAACCCAAAAAATTCAGTTATTTCATTATAATATGAATTTTTAGCGATTAATAAAGCCTTTTCAATAATAATTTTAGTTGAAAGTCAATTCTAGGGCAAGAAATTATGATTTGAAAACTGTTCTGCCATTAATTTTCGTAATCACTTGCCAGACTCAACAAGACTGGCATGAGTTTGGAGCGTGATGTAGATTATTCATTCGACGCGCCGTGCTTGTGGCTAATTTTCAAAAACAGTATTTTAATCTTATATATTGCTTTTTATAACACTAAGACTAAGACTATTTCACTAAATTTCACGAGGTTTCCATATAAATATTAAAGTGTTTTGAGTAATCTACGTCACAATGGGAGTGACCGCTGACCGAAGATAAGTTGGCCGTGATTACGAAAATTAATGGCGGAACGGTTTTCAAATCGTAATTTCTCGCCATAGAATTGACTTGCGACTAAAATTATCATTGAAAAGGCTTTAATATCAATCGCTAAAAATTCATATTATAATGAAATAACTGAATTTTTCAGGTTTTCAAATTATAGGGTGGTTTCATAAGAGTGCTCCTTTAAGTCACCAGTTGTAACAAGGATATAAAGATGTGAGTAGCTTGCATCAGATTGTTTAATTTTAAATGTGTTTATTAATTTGTTACATAGAGCTCAGAAGAGAGTAGCAGTGAATCAGACACAGAAAAGCCACAAGAGACAGCGAAAAAAGAGAAAAACAAGCCAAAGGTGTGTTTAAGACAGACAGTTGCATAAAGCAGTGGAAATTGTAAATTAAAATATTTGATATGGTAGTCATGATTTGGCTTTCAGCAATAAAACAATGTACAAGCATTTCCAGAACAGAGGTGCAACATCTTCATCACAGCTAAAATGTACTGATCGGCATGGTCAGGGTATTTTTATTTAACACTTCCAAAGCATTTGCATAACTATTGGTAAAGGAAAAATATAATTGTGTGAAGAGTTTTGCCTGCAGTGAGATAGCTCATTTGATTTTATCCTAGCAAATTATTGAATCAGAAGAAGACGATGATGATCTATTTGGTGAAAAGAAGAAGCCTCCGGACTCAGATGAGGAAGAGGAGGACAGTGATGATGAGGAAGAACAGCCAAAGAAGGTTAAATAGGCAGAAATGCAGTTAAAGTTCACATCATTAGACACACTTTATGGTGTTTTAGATTGCAGTTGAGTGCCCTAGAAAGCACACTGAGGCAACAATGGTATTCACACTACAGATCTACAGTTGTAGGTCATGAACACTGGAGCTAGTTTGTGCAAAAAATGGTCTTGGACTTTTAGAATTGCAAGTGAAATGTTGTTAGTTTTGGGATTTTAGTCTCTAGTTGGATATATCAAAAAAAAAAAAAAACACCAGTCACCAATACAAAACAAAACAAAACATGAAGGAAATGTGACATAGCACTTGCTTTAACAACATTGTTATCAAGTGTAATTTGAAGTCCACCAACTGATTATAAATAAGAAAATCAAAAGAAAAGTATAGTCTTGAAGAAACACCCCAGAATACGAGCCTGCAAAAAATGGTGTATATATATTTGAGTTTGTAGGAGAATCACATTCTTAACCCTATAAACCCTCATGTCAGTATGCAAGTATGGGCTGTTGTTTATACATTACAGGGAAAATTTTGTCAAACAGTTGAAAGCTTCTTGAGTTTGCTATCATTTTCTCTTTTTTTTTTTATGAAATTAATTTTTTATTTAGAGGTTACATTGTTGGGAGAATTTCCAGGGCTCAATACTAGCTTTTCAACTTACTAGCCAAGTGGCTAGTGACCTCTTAGATGTTTTTAGATGTTACGACAATTTCAGTCTGTTTACTAGCCAAACTGGCTAGTGGAGATTGAAAACCACTAGCCAAAACTGAATTTCTGTGGCTAGTGGGCTACCATTAGTGTCGAGCCCTGATTTAGATGTTTATTGCTCACAGGGGTTGAAGGCTAAAGAGAGCTATGGATATTGTTGTCAAACTTCCAGGGCTGGGGATGTAGACCACTGAAAAAGTTTCTTTTTTCTCCTCAGCTGAAGGGTGGTTTAGACTTTGCTTCTGAACTGGCAGCAAAAATTGGAGTGGCAAAGGTGAAGCCACCAGACAGTGATCAAGATGATAATGAAGATAAGGTGGCTGATGGTGAGTGGAGTGAGGAGGAGAAGCAAGAGACGAAAAAGGTCGAAGTCCAGGAAAAACAGCGCAGCCTAACAAAAACCAGCTTAACAAAAAGCCGCAGTGACAGCAAGACGAAAGAGAAGAAATCTCATCACCATCATCATCATCACCATCATGACAAAAAAGAACGCTCTGATTCCCAGGGAGAGCACAAGCATAGAAAACGACATGACAGTAAAACCAGTCACTCTAGTGTGGACACAAGACATTCAGTTCCTGCAGAGGATGGTAAGAAATTGTCATGAAAAATAAATGAAGAAATGGTTGTTTTTAACATTTTTTAAGTGTCCATTTCTTCTTTTGTCAGATCTGTTTAGCCAGTCAAGTCCTCAAGAAGATGGTCTCTTTGGAGGTGAAGGAACCCCATTTGCTAAGAAAGGAGGGCTGTTTAGCGGTGGAGGAAATCTCTTTGACGATGTTGATGAAGACAAGGTATAAGATGTGTGTACTCTTATCTCAGTGGTGTGACCCATAATACTTGAGTTACTCTTTGGTAAAGGCTATTGTATGTTCTCTTCCTTGGTCCCAAGGTTTTTCTCTTTCTCCATTTTTTCCTGCCTCAGAGAGAAAAAAAAGTCTCACCACATTTCTTATTGACAACAATATTATGCCACTTGGATTAGTGTTGGTGTCTTGCCTAAAAATATAGAGTTTGCCCTTGCACTATGGGATTTTCAGTCAATTAATTAACCCAAATAAAGATGATGCTTTACTTCCAGCCCCATTGTAATTGAGTTTGTTTACTGACTATAACATACCTGTGACTCTTGAGCAGAATCTGCAGCTACTTCCACACCTTTTCTTTTCTTCTTTTCTTCTCTTGTTTTCTTATCTCTGTTATGGTCCCTCTTCTTAAGAATCATCCGGCTATGTTATAACAGCTAACTCTCTTGTAGTGAAAGTATTTCATATTAGTACATACCACACAAGTGAATAGTGCTTTACCAATATGCTGCTTGGCTGCTTCAGGAGGGCCTAGCAAGTACTTTTCATGTCCAAACCATTTTAACTATGAATTTTGTTTCTTGTATTGTATATTATACACGTAATTCAGTCTTCGGACTGCGAGGTGTTTCTTTTTAATAAACGATTTATCTATCTATCTATCCAAGAAGCTGCAGAGACAAAATTGACAGAGATCAACTGATTTTTTGGGTTTCTGTGAGGTTTTTTACTAAAAAAATTATTCATGCTTCATGGCTTGGCAAATATTCACCACTATTCACCCCCACTTTGGTGAATAATTGTTATATATTGAGCAACACTTTATTATAAATAAATTTAATTTTTTGAACACATAGGATGACTTGTTTGCTGAGGCTTCAACAACAGAAACAAAGAAACAGGATGGACCAACAGAAGGTTTGGAAAAGTTACTATAAGAATATTTGGGGATGGTGAAAGTAAAATAACTTTTATCTATAATTGACAGTTGCTTAATTTTTCAGCAGAAGAGGAATCTGTTAAAGTTAAACCCAGAGCAAGAAGTACAGCAAGTGGGAAGAAAATCCCAGCTGGTGCAATCTCTATATTTGGAGGTAGTTATTGCAAAACAAGTATATTTGCTCTCAGTTTGCCCGGCTCTAAAGAGTTGGTTAAAATTGTCAGGTGCCCTTGCAGAATGTGGTGCATTCCTTTTACACCCTTACATCAGTGAGTCTACTTTCCATACCGTTTTCTTTACATTTCCTACAGCATTGACAAGGAGAATTTGAGTGAGAGTCAACACCTTCTTAAATTGTTGATAATATATATATCTTATTAACCAAGGGCAAGGGCCATACTGGGAGAATATCGGCCCGAGGTCTTGACAGTATGGACTTCGCTGCGCTCGGTCTGTGCAAAAAAGAGCGAGGGCCGATATTCTTCCAGTACGGTCCTGAGCAAGCTTGGTTAATAAGAGATTTATTATACGACTGAAGTTCAAAGGGACACAAGTGCGGTATCATTCGGGACAGTGCCCGGTCCAATACTTAGAGAACATTGGACCGGCAATAGAGCATTTTGATTGGTTGATTTTAGTTATTGGCTCTCTGACTGCCTGAGTCTTGTAATAATATCATTTATTCTCATGACCTTTCCGTTTGACTTAAGGGTGAAATTAGAAGTCCATCTTTCTTGAGGGTTGAAGGGTCCTAGTATTACTCAGAATAATACCGAGAAATTGGTGTTGAAATTAACTGGAACAATTTTTCTTTTAGACTCTGGGTTGTTTGGATCACCATCACCAACAAGAGAGGTAAGGGGTCAGTTTATTTAGATTTGATAGGGTGAAAAACGGCATTCACAATTTGGTCGTTTTTTAGTTTGATCCCTCATGTTTACAATTCCATAGAACATTTTATAATTGAGTTTCAAGAGTAATGAGGGTTTCTTTTGTTTTTCTTTGTATAAATCAATGGTTGCTTAAAGCTTAAACTTGCACCACCCATTTTTAATCATTTATGTGCAAAACTAAAATCAGTTAAAAGTTTTGTAACTCAAATTTTCCAAAGTTTGAGCTGCTGCTAGGAAACATACTGTATATTTAATTGGCTTCACATCAGCCCCTTCTGCACTTTTTGTTTGTTCTTATTGGCTTCTCAATCAAAATGCACTCTGAAACCTTGCTGCCCATCTGGATCAATTGTAGTAAGGAAATGGGATGTAATTTGTGGTTTAACCTTCACTGCTTGGAGAAAAGCAAACAAAAATAAGAATGACAGAGAAAATTACACTTTAGGTTCAACAACTTTGTAGCAGCATAGTTTTCTTGTGTGATAGATAATTTCATCCAGTGTCTATATTATGACTTTCTTTTCTTTGTTTCTTCTCACTCAGGACATTGCCACCAGTTTGACTAAAAACAATCTAAAGCAAGAGGAAGCTGAAACAAAACCCAAACCTAAGAGTGGAGGGGGTGGGGGTGGTTTGTTTGATGGTGATGATGATGATGATCTGTTCAGTGGTACAACTTCTAGACCATCTGCTGCAGCTTCAGTAGTTCAAGGTACATATATCTCTCTCAAATCCCTATTTTAGCATGCAAATTCGTAGCAATACCTCAATTTTATTACACGACTCGGGCAGTCAGAGGGCCAATAACTAAAATCAACCAATCAAAATGCTCTATTGCCGGTCAATATTCTCTCAGTATTGGACCAGGCATTGTCCTGAATGATACCGCACTTGTGTCCCTTTGAACTTCAGTCATATAATAAATCTCTTATTAACCAAGCTTGCTTGGGACCGTACTTGAAGAATGTCGGCCCTCGGTCTTTTTTGTACGGACCTTGCTGCGCTCGGTCCGTACTGTCAAGACCTCAGGCCAATATTCTCTCAGTATGGCCCTTGTGCTTGGTTAATAAGATAGATTTATCCCATGTGCTCTGATGAAAGGCTGACCCTTGAAACATCAGCTTTGAAACTATTTATGGTGGCCAATTTACATTATTAACTCAGTTGCTAAAACCAAAATTACCTTGTTACTCTCACCAATGCAGCACCACAGTTTCTTAGAAACTTACCCCCTCAGTTGTATGGACTCATTGAGTGAAGATATTATAGATGAGTTGCAGTAATGGTGTGTACTCTCACATTTTTTCCATCCCTTTCCCAATTTTTTTTTAATGACTTGAATCTGTGATTTTGGATAAGTAATTAATTTTTTCATTCACTTCTTTTGTCATGATGCAATTTTTCTTTCAACCCATCTGAAGTAGTAAGGGAATCTAAATTTGGTCCATATCACAGATACAAACAGGAGTAGTTTTGTCTTAGATGTTGTTGTTGATTGTGATCATTGTTACAAACAGTACCACTCTCCTTTGAAACAGAAACCACGAAGGTCAAACCAACAGCAAATAAGGTTGATCTGTTTGGTGCCCACAATGAGGATGAAGAAGATGATGGTGACTTGTTCAGTGGAGAACCTAAAGCAAAGGAAGCTGGACAGGCAACACCAAAGAAAAAGGTGTGTTCAAAATAGCAAACCTCTGTTCTTGTCTCAGCATGTTTCTCAGTTTTCAACTTATCATGGTCTTCAATCCCAAGTAACTCAGTGACA